TATTAGCATTCCAACCTGATGAGAATTAAATTCTCTAAGATCGTTTAGATTCGTAACAGATTTAGACAAACACAATAAAAGCAAAGAACACACGATGAATCAAACAAGAGCTGAATGATTAATATGCTCCACCTCAGAAGAGCTCGATAAAGAACTTCGACTGTAAGGTGTGCTAGGGTTACAATACAATCAAAGGAATAATTATATCAAGCGTACAGAGAAAGATGCATGCATGCATCTTATATACTAAACCCTAATGACATAAACACGGCTGGACAGGCCCAAACCGTGATAACAATGGACCGAGGTAACAGGCCCAATGACGCAACTCTTAGACCCAACAATCTCCCCCTTTGCGTCAATTGAGGCGAGAGATCATTTCGGTTGAGTGAGAGTAGATTTCTTCACAGTCTTGAATAGCTTCGGTATGATGGCGAGAAGAGTTTGACGGAAGTCAATATACCACCGAAGCATATCCGAAAATTTTTTCTTATCAGCATCACTGTTTTGCTTACACCTGTGAATGATGTCAAGAATGTGCTCCAGACAAGAAGTGGAGAACAGATGTTTATCATCAAGAGCGAAAAAGCACTTTTGGCCTTCGGCTCTGGTGAACATGACTGTGTGATACTTCGGGTCAATTCTACCCATCTGCATCTTGTTAACATCGCTTGCCTTCCCAATTGGTCTGATTGTAGGCTTCTTCCTTAAGGCAGAGGCGATCTCTTGATCCATCTTGGCAACCTCATGAATGTAAGAAACTAACATTCGCTTGATGTGATCGATGATAGGCTCGTACTGCTGTTGATCAGTTAGCAAAATGTTGTTCAAGAGGATCCAGTCGTGTGGGTTTAAGTTCGGCAGATCAACAAGAGAAATCATATGAACCGAGTTGTCAGAACCTCGGGTCACTAACTTCACGATTATAAAATTCCCCGCTGAAGTTGGTTTCAATACCTTGACTGTTGTGATCTTTTGTGCGCTCCAGGTCAAGTATTGTGGTTGAGAGAATGCGAGATAGTAGTCAATTAATTCTTGGTCAACCTTCGGGTCAGGACAAGGAACAATGGCGATTGGTTCAAAGCAATGAAACACAAATGCCTTTCGGGTGATAAGCATGTCGAACTGAGAGTCTCTGGAATTTTCACGATCAAAGGAGATGACCGGTTCAAGCCAGTGAGTGCTAGGAGACTCGATTGCTTCTTTTAAGAGTTTCTCCAATGTCCACGAAGGAAATAGAGTTTCTCTACTTTCCAATGCGTCATGAGATTCTTTTCTTTTTCTTTCCCTCTCTTCTTCTTCTCTTGCGATGCGAAGATTTTCATCAATCTCTCGGTCACGTTGCTTTCTTTTGAGAGCATCTTCTTCAGTTTCTTCCTCATCACTATCACTGACTATCTTTTTGTTTTTGTCCTTCACACTAGAACCCGAAGCTTCATTACCCTTCGGTTCAGTGGTGACTTTCAGTTGAGAAGAGATTTGAATTGGTTTGCTTGTTGGAGGTTGTGGTGGTTGACCCTGACTTGCTTCTCCCCCTTGTTTCGGAGGGACAACAGTCCCCGGAACACCTTCTATTCGGCTTAAAATTTCAAGAGCAGGTCTCAACTTCTCAGCCAAATGTCGTGGGACAGTGAGAGTAAGAACCGAATCATGTGCCTCTAGGAGATTGGAAAAAAGAGAGTGCACATCACCAACACAGCTTTTGATAACTGCTCTTTCAGATTTGAGATCATCAATTTCCTTGGTCGCCAGAGTGAGCTTCAAGGTCTGAGTTTTGAGTTGAGCAGTGCGACGATCCAGTTCATCCATGACTTTGCTTTCCACAGCTAGCCCGGTCTGGAGTTGATCAAGACGAGCCTTAACTGAAGATACGAACTCTGCATTATCAGCTTGAATCCCCTTTCTAATGCTTTCAAAATGCTTATGCTCCTCCTGAAGCGTAGTGGTGAGATCCTTAATCGTAGCATTAACCATATTGGCATTCTTTTGAGCAGCTGCCTGGAGAGAGTCCAAAAACACTTGAGCATCGTAGATTATTTTGTCAACATTTTCAGCCGCTTTCTGACAAGAAGTAGTAGAAGCATCCACAGCTTTGGTAGCTTTTTCAATCGAGTCCTGATGCTCTTTGACCAGAGTAGAGAACAGGGCCTTGACCGCTGCTTCTATGTATTCAGTAGTAGAAGAGGAAGATGCAGAGGCAATAAGCTTGTCAAGTTTCTCGTTAAGATCCTTTAAATGCCGTTTCGTTACAGGAGCATCATCATCATCATCACTCTGAACTCTGTAGGGGCTAAAATAAAAGGAATCAAAGTCAGCATCCTCACCACCGATAACGGTGTCAGATTCATTTGAGTGAGGTGGAGATAGAGGTTTAGAGGTAATCGGGGTTTCGGTCCCTGAAGTAGGTGCCCCCGTATCAGATACGTTGACACGAACTTGAGGTTCGGTTGGAGTAGTGGTAGTGGTGGTAATTTTGATGAATAAGGGTGTTGGTATTGGTTTAGAAGTTACAGTTGTAGAAAAGATTGGAGGAGGGCATGGAGCAATAGTTATAGGAACAGAGCGAGTAGGAGAGGAAGGAGGTGAGTTTCGGTTAACCTGATCAGCCGGTGAAGGTGGAGGCGAATCTCCTCTGAGCGAACTCTCATCTTGAGAATGTTCACTATTGCTTGACTCTCTTTCGGGTTGTTGGTCAAAGGGAACATATTCTGAATCACTTGAAGACGGAGCCTTTGGCTTGGGCGCCTTCTTCTTGATCTTTCGCTTCTTATAAGCGAAAGGAGCTGCTTGTTCTGACTTTCGCTTTTTAGGCATAGCAGCTTTAGATGATGGTCCTTCCTTCTCGTTTTTTCGTTGATCACCCTTCTTTCCTCGTTTCGCTGGTTTATCAGCAGCATCCAACGATCTTTGCATTTCAGGGGTTAGCTGCCTCGGACCCGTAGGAGGAAGCTTCTTGTATTCACGAATGAGCTTGCTTTCCCCAGAAACACAGTGGTACATTGTCTCAGGAATCAAACTGATGAACAGAAATTTGGTTGGATCAGAGACAATAATCTTTGTCCTGTGAAAAGTGGCGATTGATGACTTCAAAGAGTCTGCCATTACTGGAATGTGAAATTTCTCCATTGCCCATTGAGTAACTAAGGTCCAAAACCTGCCACAAGAGATTTCAGAATAACGAGAAGATGAGGTTAGGCTTTGTACCAGTTGAGTCCAGAGAATAGACCCATAGTCCATGTTGATCCCATAGTAAAGACCATAGAGGAGAGTCATAAATGCTTTGCTTGCCCCGTCAGACCCTGCAACCCTCTCCGATAAGCCCTTGAAAAGAAGAGTAAAGAGACCATTCCATTGTGGAGGAAGGCATGACTTCTTGAACTTTATCACTGTCGTAAGAACTTCGGTGTACCCCATATCGTAAAACATGGTGAAAAGCTAAGTCGTGCTGATCGAGTCTGGATTGATCATGGAGTCGTTGATGAGTAGCCCTAGCAATGAGCAAAACCTAACCTTTGAAATAGAAGTCTTCTGATCAAAGATCTCAAAGAAAATCATGTCCTTAGCTTTGTCGTATGAAGCCGATGAATATATTTGACAAAAGAGAGACATCGGAACAGATTCAACCTTGGTGAGGGCAATCACAAGTGGTGAATATTTGAGTCATTCAACCACCTGAAGCATGTAAGGATCGTACTAAAAAGGAGAGAGATCAGTGATCAGGTTTTGATTTGGTTTGATGGTGAGAAGCGTGGACTATACGCTTTGTTCTTGAATAGAGGATGAGTCAGCCATTGTTGAAGCTTGAAGTGAAGAAGATGAACAGTAGAGAGAAATCGCCGTTTAATGCACGAAAGGATTTTGTAAGTGGTAAAGAGGTAAAAGTGAGGTGAGAAAACTCTTTATACGATTACCATGAGAGAGAAAAATTCGAAGTGATGATTGCACGATTTTCTGAAGCGACGCCTGAAAAAGCGTGATTTGACAACTGTTACCCCGAAAAGTGTGTCAATCGTGTCAGGCGGCGTGAGAAAAGGAAACGATTCAAATTCACGCGCCTTGTTAAAGTCTTATCCATTCACCACCTCTTGAATTTTAAAACTGTTCAAATTTTCTTTGAAATATGGACTCACCCTTTCGCTTTCATTGGTATTGACTAGCCTTCGCTCCCAAACATAGTTTAACATCATAACGCATTGAACCGAAACGATAGATCTGAGAAATAGCCATTAGTACCATGATTAAGACTTGTGGAAAATCATAAAGATCTTCGTGCAAGAGTGTGCCAAAGAAAAAGAAATAAAACAAAGTATTTGTGGGATATAAGTGATGTCAATTAAGACAGAAAACTGTGGATCCCGGGCATGAATCTCTTCCTTCAAAGTCAAGAGAGACTTAGAAGTGTCTGTGTGGTTTCCCGTTAAAATACGTTCATATGCTTATTAAGAGGCATTGAAAGGCATCTTTTCAGTATAAGGTTATTAGGGTGGCTTGCGCTTCAATCGAACTACGAAACTTGATATAAGACCGAAAGTTGGATGAAGTACTTGTGAGACCGGTGTAGCCTATAAAACAAGTAGGTTTGATCAATTTTCAGTGACTTGGTGATATTGTAGAAATCTCAAAAACAAAAATAAACTGGATCTTTTGGGCAGAAAAGTCTTGGTGTTAGACAATTTCATAAAGATCGCTCAAAAATAAAAAGAGATTTCTTGGTACCTCCCACTAAAGTGGTTTCGTTAATACTTGGGTGAAAACTAGAACGTGTGATTGTTCACCGTCAATTCATTGTAGGTGTTGGATTTTGGGTTTCACTTAGATCGTGGTTGACGAAACTAAGATCATAAACACAGATGTTGTGTAACCATAAACCTCAGTGGTAACTTCTGAGAGTCTCAAGGGTTTTGTTTATGAACCGAAATTTGATGGAGAAAAGTGTGAAGGTGGTTAAAGAACCGAAAGTACCTCTGCTATATAGTAAGGACCGAGCAGAAAACTCTTAACTCAATATGAGAAGAGTAAGGTAGCTCGTGACTTAAGTGATTTTATCAGCCTGATTGGGAAGAATCGATTTGTATATATCGAATCAGTAAGGCCGCACTTGAAGTCTTTGAGGCTTAGGACAACATGCATCAACATGCTTCTAGGGACACTTAGCTAGTACAAAGATAAATAGAATTATACCTGTCCCAGCTTCATCATTGGAGGCCGTCCATGAGTCCTTTCAGTGTGATATTTTTGGTATTTTGAAAAAGAAAAGAAATAATACTAAACACAAAGTAAAATATTTTTGATCATTTTGATTTTCTGAAAAAAAATAAAAACAGAAAAGAAATTTTTTTGGATTTTATGATTTTTCTGAAAAGAAATAAAAACAGAAAAGAAAATATTTTTGGATTTTATGAAAAGAAATGAAAAACATAAAATGAATTGAGAAAAAGTATACATAGTGTACAGAGTATACAACCGAAACTTCGCCTTTGGAGTGATGAAGCAAAATGGACCGAGCGTTCGGTTCATTTCGGTTCCCGAAAAATCTGGAACCGAAATAGACCGAGCGTTCGCTCTATTTCGCTTGTCCAATTTTAATGAGGCGAAAGAGGTTTTGGTACTGATTCAGCTTCCATCATTCCCAAGCCTTGGAGTATTTTATTAAAGCTTGCTTCTGGTAAGGCCTTCGTGAAGATGTCAGCTAACTGATCAGCAGATCGAAATAAAGTGGATTTCAACGCTACCATCTTCTACGTGATCCTTGATGAAGTGGTATCTCAGTGCTATATGTTTCGTTTTAGAGTGTTGCACTGGGTTGTGACATATCCGAATAGCGCTTTCTGAGTCACAATAGTGGGGATTTTCTTCATGTTTAGGCCATAATCTCTAAGTTGACTTTGTATCCATATGACCTGTGAAGTGCAAGACGCTGCGGCGATGTATTCAGCTTCGGCCGTAGAAAGAGACACACACGTTTGTTTCTTGGATTGCCAGCTAACGAGTTTCCCATCAAGGAATTGACACCCGCCAGTTGTGCTCTTTCGGTCCAGACCACATCCTCCAAGATCGGCATCAGAGAATGCTTGAACAAAGAACCTGATTTCGCAGGGTACCAAAGACCGAGAGACGAGGTTCGCTTCAAATATCTGAAGATATTTTTCACAGCCACCATATGAGGTTCACGTGGATTAGCTTGGAACCTGGCACAATAACAGACAGAAAACATAATATCTGGTCTACTAGCTGTTAGATACATTAGAGACCCTATCATTTGACGATAGAGGGTCATATCAGCAGCTGGTTTCTCCAGAGATGGTGTTAGCTTCGTTCCGAATGCCATTGGAACCTTTACTTTAGAATCTCCCATCATACCGAACTTCGCCAGTAGAGTCTTCGTGTAAGCCTCCTGATTAATGAATATGCCTTCTGGTCCCTGTCTTATGTTCAGTCCAAGGAAAAAGTTAATCGGACCCATTGAACTCATCTCAAATTTAGTCTCCATCAACTTCCGGAATTCAGCCGTTAAGCTAGGATTCGTAGAACCGAAGATGATGTCATCGACATAGATTTGGACGATCATTAAATGGTTACCCTCTTTCTTGCGAAAGAAGGTTGGGTCAACCGAACCTTGTTTGAATTTTGACAATTTTAGAAAACGAGTTAATGTTTCATACCAGGCTCGAGGAGCTTGCTTTAGACCATAAACCGCTTTGTCCAGAATATAGCAATGATCAGGATACTTCTCATTCACGAAACCCGGTGGTTGCTCCACATATACAGTCTCTTCTAGTTCTCCATTCAAGAATGCACACTTGACGTCCATTTGAAAAACTTCGAAATTCTTGTGAGCAGCGTATGCCAGAAAGATCCGAACTGATTCCAACCTTGCTACAGGAGCGAAGGTTTCTTCATAATCTATACCTTCTTCCTGACAATATCCCTTAACCACTAGCCTTGCCTTGTTGCGTATCACGTTCCCTTCTTTGTCCAACTTGTTCCGGAATACCCATTTTAATCCAACCACAGATGCATCCTTTGGTGTAGGAATCAGTCTCCAGACTCGGTTTCGCTCAAACTCATTGAGTTCGTCTTGCATAGCCTGTACCCAATCAGAGTGATCAAGTGCAGTGTTAACTGTTTTCGGCTCAATCTTGGAGACAAACGAATTAAACATGCAGAATTCCACTTGAGAGAATAGAGCTGTTTGCTTCGCTTTCAGTTGAGAGCGTGTAAGAACTCCCTCAGATGATTCACCAATTACTTGAGTTTTCGGATGATCTTTTGTCCATTTTGTGAGAGGAGGGTAGTTAGGATCATAAGCAGGATCCAATTTGGCATTGACTTCTTCTTCAAATTCTGACTGAGCGTCATCATTCGTATTGACAATCTCCCCCTCGAATGATGAAACAACTTCAACATCAGGTTCAAAATTCTCCCCCTCGATTTGACTTTCATGGTTCATAGTTGGAGATGGGTTCTCCCCCTGGAAAGGCGAATCAGGTCGCTTTGATGTAGACGAATCCTCCCCCTGGAAATTCGTGCGGTTATTTGTGGGTTCGCTTGGACCTTTGGTTTCGCTTGGACCTTTGGATTCGCTTGGACCTTTGGATTCGCTTGGACCTTTGGGTTCGCTGGGACCTTTGGTTTCGCTTAGATCTTGAGGTTCGCTTTCCATGGCTTTTGCAGCTTCGTTGATTATCTCCTTCAGGTTGTCAACCTTGTTATCAGCTGCTTTCGCTTCAGAAAGAATTGCATTCTCCGGTTCATCAAAGAGCAACATGTACTCTTCAAACAGATTTGATATAGGAGCCGTGACTTGACCTGTTTGTGAAAAGATCTCCTCCATTGGACTTTCGTTGGATTGAAGTTTCTTCACGTAATTGTCATCAAAAGTGACATAATAGGTTTCTTCTATCTTCTTTGATCCTTTATTCAGAACCCTATATGCCTTGGAGGTTAGAGAGTAGCCAAGAAAAATCCCTTCGTCTGCCTTCACATCAAACTTGTTTCGGTTCTCTTTAGAGTTAAAGATGAAGCACCTGGAACCGAAGACATGGAAGAATTTAACATTAGGCTTGCGATTATTCAAAATTTCATACGGTGTGATAGAAAATCGCTTATTGAGGAAGGTTCGGTTCTGGGTATAGCAAGCAGCAGAAATCGCATCAGCCCAGAAGTACAGAGGTAGAGAAGCGAAGCTGAGCATGGTTCGGGCGGCTTCACACAACGAACGGTTTCGCCTTTCAACTACACCATTTTGTTGTGGAGTATAGGGTGCAGAGAAGTTGTGAGTTACTCCCTTTTCGGTCAGAAATTCTTCAAAGTCGTTGTTTTTGAATTCTAACCCATTGTCACTTCGGACATTTCTCACTACCTTTCTCAGCTTTACTTCCACCTGTTTTATAAAGTTTTTGAGCTGTGGAGTTGCCTCTGATTTCTGTTTAAGAAAGAAAACCCAAGTGAAACGTGAAAAATCATCGACAATGACAAGAATGTACTTATTACCACCAATACTTTCTATGGCCGATGGACCACATAGATCGATGTGTAGAAGCTCAAGAGGTTCGATGATCTTTGTGTTAACACGTGTGGGATGAATCTTCCGGCTTTGCTTTCCCATTTCGCATGCAGCACACAAATGTTCCTTGTCAAACTTTAGAAGTGGCAGTCCTCGCACATGATCACCAAGAACCAGCTTGTTGATGTCTTTGAAGTTAAGGTGCGAGAGTCTTCGATGCCATAGCCAGCTTTCATCAGAATGAGCTTTCGTTAGAAGACATACAACAGGCTTCCCGCGTATCGGGTTTAGATTTAATGGATACATTTCGCCGTTGTGTTGGGACTTCAATAGAACCGTCTTAGTTTTCTTTTCAATGATCTCGGATCCTTCATCATCAAATGAGACCTTCAGGCCAGTCCCTACAACCAATTGCGAGACACTTATGAGATTGTGTTGCAATCCTTCCATGTAGGCCACCTTTCGAATGGAAAAATCTTCGTTCGTTATCATTCCATAGCCTTTTATTTTGCCATATGAGTTGTTTCCATACTTGACACAACCACCATCTTTTAGAGCCCGAAACTCCCTCAGCTCTTCCCATCTCCCTGTCATGTGATGCGAGCAACCACTATCGATATACCATTCGTCGTCAAATTGATCATCACTGATAACCTGCAAAAATCAAGCAGATTTAGGAACCCAAAGTTGCTTGGGTCCACGTGAGCTTTTTACAGAACATGAAATAGCAATAGAAAGATTAACCATATATGTTTGTTTTATTAAAGTGGTTTCATATTTCCCTTTGATGGTGAAAACCTTAACTTTGTTAGCTTTCGATTTGTTTGAATCAGATTGTGGAATTTTATTTTGATTCTTAACAAACTTGTTCTCTTGTTTCCTAGTGTTAGTTGTCATCTTCTTCGTTTGCGTTTCGTATTCTGAGACGAGCTTTCCTTTTCCCTTGATATCCTTGTTAGGATTTTGCTTTGGTTGACAATGAGGAGGATGGGATTTAGGACCGAAACTGGTCTTTCGGTTCTTGTCACTGCCAGATTTGGGACCGAAACTGCTTCTTAGGTTCGTTTGACTGCAGGATTGATAGTGAGTGCATAGGTCAGAGTTAGCCTTTGATCTTTATTTTGCCTTGTGATTGGACGCCTTTTCTGTGCGAACATAATTGGAGTTTTGGGAGTGCCAAAATTTCTTCCTTTCATTGAGATTCTTTTGATATCTCCTGTTTCGCTGGCGTTTTTATTCAGCAAGCTGCTTCTGAGACTTGTGAATGTTTACTTTCGGCTTCGGTCTTTCAGCATGAGTTTCACTCTTCAATGAAGTGGTTTCGCTTGCCGCCTTTGTAGGTTCGCTTCGAATTTCTTTAGTACCACTTGTGCTTGGTACATCAAAGCTTGTTGGCTTGTTGAGTGGTTCTCCCACGTATCTGCCTTTGACTCTCCATGAAGTTCTTTCTGATAAACCGACAGTTTCGTCTGCATTGTCAGTTGGAGCAGACCAAAAATAATTATCACAGCCGCCTGCGTTATCTTTGTTTACTATGGCTGTGTGTTTCTGAGTTACTCCTGTTGTGGTGTATACCTGATTTGGTACGGTTTGTACCTTTTGATATACCACAACCTTCTGTTTCAGAACTTTGGATTTATCTTGGAATATCCGAGCAAACTCAACTGAATTTTCAGATATAAGACCTTTGGTAGGTTCGGCTTCGCTTTTGAAAAATTCTGAACAGTCAACTTTATCCTCTACAGATATTTCACTCATATCACTGTCCTCGTCAAATTCAAATGTGTTTTCCACATTTATGTTGTTTTCTGAACTCAACTTGGTACTCAATGAGTCAAATTTCTGTATAGTTTCGGTCTTGATTTTTAATTTATCATTTTCGTCCAATAGGTTTTTAAGCATGTCCTTATGGTCTTTGGACTTGATGAAGGACTCGATTTTTTCCAGACCGCATCTGTAGGCATAAGAAATCTCATCCGAAGAGACAATAGATTCACATTTATAGCAATCAGCATCTATTTCGTCTTCCTTTAATTCAAGGAAAGGCAAAATAATTTTGTGAATCTTATCTCCAATCTCACAATTTAAATACAACTGAGTAATATTGGAATAAAGATGTTTAGCAATTAAGCAAAAAATATTCCTTTGTTTCAAAAACTTTAAATTGTCATGTTGTAAATAAATCAGTTCATCTCTTGCCCTAACAAGCTCTAATTCCTTCTTCTCTATCCACATCCTTCGCTCCTCACTCTTGGAAGACACCCTGCTGAGTTGATCAGTTAGGTTAGAATTCGTGAGGCGAGTTTGTTTTAAACTACCACTTAAACTAGAAAACTTGAATTTTAATTCGTTTAATTCCTTTTCATAGTTATTAACTGGTATTTTCAGTGATTCGAGGATAGATTGTACCTTCTTGATCAACTGATCACATTCGTTGATCTTCTCACCCATCGGTTTGGCAGTGAAGCACCCGTCTTCTCTTTCCTTCGCTTCATCAGACCCACCATCCGTTGTGCAGCCTCTTATTTGTGATACTCCAGCAGACACCATGAAGCACCTTCCAGCAAACTTAGCATTATCTTCCTTCGCCACAAAAGCCCTACCATGCGTAGGTTTGGGAACTTCTTCATCTTCAGATTCGGTAGACCAGACCTCTAGTCCTCCGAACTCATCATCAACCAAGTTCTCCTGCACAATCAAAGCATTTATAGAATTGTTAGAGGTTTTCTTCTTCTTTATGGTCCTCCAGTTTGCGTAGGTGATACGCTTCATCATCTTCTCCATCCTTCTTCTCGGACAGCTTTCTCAACATACAATCTTTGGCAAAGTGATTTTTGTCGTGGAAAAAATTGCAGTCATATCCGGAGTCACCTACAACTTGTTCTCCTTCTTCGCTTCTTCTTGCTGAGGAGCGTTTTTAACCTCCTCTTTCGCCTTTTCGGAACTGTAGCTCCCTTGCCAGTTTCGGTTCTTGGAGGAGGGAAACTTTTTGCGAGCAAACTTCTTGGGATTAGAGATCATTAATGCATATTCATCTTCAGATCACATTCAGAGAGATCCAACTCTTCTTCTTCTTCAGCCATGTTCTTGCCCTTTGAGAGAAGACCAAAGATCCCATACTAGACACCACATTCATTTCCTTAGTCACTACACTTTCATGTGACTTGAGTATTCCCACAAGCTTCGCCAACGAATAGGTTTTGAACTGTTCATGAGCTTTCACAGTCGAAACCACAGCCACCCATTCGGTCCTTAGGCCATTCATAAAAGTGACCTTCTGTTCGATCACTTCTCTTCCAATTCCGTGCTTGATCATCTTACTGAGAAGATGATTGAAACGATCGAACGCTTGAATGAGTTTTTCTTCTTGCTTTTTCTTGAAATCACCGAATTCCGAAAGCAGAAAAGTTTGAATTGAGTGCTCCAGATCATCATCAGTGGAATATAGCTCCTTAAGCCTATCCCAGATTAGTTTTGCCGTCGTGCATGAAGTAACCAAATGAAAAGTATCAGATTGCAAGGCAAATCTGATCATCCTCATAGCTTTAATGTTGCTCATCAGTTTGTCCTTCTCGTCTTGAGGAACATTCTCCACATCGATCATCATCTGATTGTACTCCTTTTGAGTTGTGATGACTTTATTTGTTCCAGAGTGAGCAAACGGACCCAAGGTGATAGCTTCCCAGATTAGATACCCATTATCCTTTGAACCAAGAACATAGTCTTCAAAGTGATGCGTCCAGAACTCATAATCTTGGGTATATAAGATCGGGATTCTCGTAGTAGATCCAATGCTGTTTGTAACACCCGGATTCCAGGTATGCTTTTAACTTAAGTCAATCTTATAATTTCACTCTTGGACTCGACGAGTTGATGGCCCGACTCGTCGAGTCAGATCGAATCCGGATCGGGGAAATAAGTAACCTACTCGACGAGTCGGAAAACCGACTCGGCGAGTAGGCGCTGTCTGATGAGAACCCTAATTTCAAGGGTTTGTTCCCCTATTTAAGGAACATAAAGCCCCTTTGGCCTACCTTGTCACTCCTTCCATACCCAGAAAACCCTAAACCGCCACCTTTGAGTATTGTGAGTATTTGAGTGTCATTTCTTGAGTTATCTTTTGTGATTGAAGTTTGGGTGAAGAAGAGGAAGAGGGAAGACTTCAAGAAAAGAGTTCAGATCCAGAATCAGCATCACTTTCCCCTCACTTTCTGGTAATAAAACTTCCCTTTTTACTTGTGATTTCCTAGATCTTCTTATGGCTGTTTTGGGTTAAGAAGCTTGACTCTTGGGATTTGGACGTCCCAAGTTGTTTCACCTTCAGATCTAGGACCTTGAAGGGTCCTCATGGCATAAAGGTGCCATCCTTAGGGCCATGAGAACTCCATGCATGCTAAAACATCCATTTTCGGCCTTTTAAGCTCCATTGGTGCATGCATGCACGTAAAGTTCATAACTTTACGTGTTAGATCGACCTTAGAAGCCCAGATCTATCTTTTGGATTAGAGTTGTACATCAGAAATCAAGTTATGGACTTGGACATTAGGCGACTCGCCGAGTTGTTCTTGGAGCTCGGCGAGTCCGGGGCTAGAAGTCCCCAATCTGTAGTGGTTCATAGGAGCCCAGTTGAGTGAAAGCAGGGTCTTAGACAAGTCCAGAGGAATGACCCGACGTATTAAGTCATAGCCATAACCTGGAAGCCATGGGACTCGACGAGTGTAAGAACACACTCGGCGAGTCCAAGGCAATCTTCTTACCCACAAGAACAGACTCGACGAGTTGTTCATACAACTCGGCGAGTCGTAGACTGGACATGTTCATATGACGGAGGTGGACTCGACGAGTTGTTCATACAACTCGGCGAGTCGGATGAAGATTGACTCGATGTTATTAAGAAGGAGAACTCGTCGAGTCTTTGCTAAACTCGGCGAGTATAATCGGGTAGGGAGCAAAAGAGAAGATAGGGACTCGACGAGTTGGCGGCCCAACTCGGCGAGTCAGGTCAACTGGAAGTTGACTTTGACCAGGAGTGAAATAGTCACTTTACTCAAAAACTAGTTATCAGTTCTGATTAAGTTCCTTTGTGGTAATTATAGTCGGGGAGTTGCCGGAGCAGCTGTCAGACGTTTCCCGCTCAGTTTTTTCAGCAGTCGACTTCACGAGGTGAGTTTCCTTCCAGTAGGAACGGTTCTACGGCCACAATGCCAGCCCGTTTAAATAGCAGTAGTTCCGGACTGCGGTCCGATGCCGGGGTGGTCTCGAGAAGTAGTTCAGTATGCTTGATGTCTTTGTGATTCAGGCATGTCTATGTGTTATGTGTTCCGGACTGCGGTCCGATACAGTATGCAATATGTGTGTTATTGTTATATGTTACGGTTAGGTTATGTTATGTTCAGTCAGTTCCGGACTTCATTTCGATGCAGAGGGCAAGGCCCTAGTCAGTTCCGGACTTCGGTCTGATGCAGAGGGCAAGGCCCTAGTCAGTTCCGGACTTCGGTCCGATGCAGAGGGCAAAGGCCCTAGTCAGTTCCGTAATTCGGTCCGATGCATAGGGAAAGGCCCTAGTTAGTTCCGGACTTCGGTCCAATGTAGAGGGCAAAGGCCCTAGTCAGTTCCGGACTTCGGTCCGATGCAGAGGGCAAGGCCCTAGTCAGTTCCGGACGTCGGTCCGATGCAGTGGGCAAGGCCTAGTATGTGCTTTATATGTTATTGTATGGTATGTGGTAGTTTGGGGGAGCTCACTAAGCTTCGTTCTTACAGTTTCAGTTTTGGTTTCAGATACTTCAGCTAGCAAAGGGAAGGGCTCGGGATGATGGCATGGCACACACCACAGTTTTAGCCTGGGAGATTGACTCTGATATTTTGATATGATCTTGACATTGGTTTTGTTATGAGACATATTTTATGACATTTTGAGACACCCAACTTATGGTTTTCTTATGTGATATTTGGATCTTATGGTGTTAGTAATGTTTTCAAAACAAAATTTTTGTCTTGTATTTTTGGGATGTTTCAAGTTGGTATCAGAGCCTTGGTTTGAGGGATGCGGGCACACTTTTGGGTGTGTCTGTACTCAAACTAAGGAAATCGTATAAGGTTTTCAAAAGAAAAACATTTTCGAAAGAAATTTGTGAAAAAGAAACTTAAAAGGACAAGAGTTTTTGAAAAAGAGAAAAGGGTGTGGTGCATGCGATCAGCCGAGCTCAAGTAAGTACTCCCAAATTACCAATACAAGTTTATGTTATGATTATCAGTTTCAGTAGAACAACATGCTAGATTAGGACTAAGGATCTAGGAAGGATGCCTTATGTGCCTGTTTTATGTGTTTCAGCTCTATGAGAACTGCATGCTAGTACAGGATTGTCAGTATGATAGCCAGAGTAGTATATGCTTGATTATGTGTACTCGATGCTCGAATGCTGTTTGCTTTGTGCTTTTAGGAGTCTTAGTTATCTTTTACTAACTAGTAAATGGATATGTTACGTTACATATTGCAAGGATTAAATAATTTCAGAAGGTTAGGTCTAACTCTATTGCGCAGCTCTTGTCTGAGTCCAACTGTTGTAGGGTAGGATCTCTCATTCGAAGAATTATCTAGTCTTAGTGATATGTAATAGTATTCACGAACTAGTTAGGGGGAGGTAGCCGGGACTTCTTGTGCAGCTGATAGCGAAGAGTGGGTTGGTGATTACCTTAGGGCAAGCCTAGGATGAGAGTAGCAGAGAGCTGTAGCAGTAGCAGTAGAAGGGACTCGGTGGAGTCAAGGCAGTTCTTGAGGAAAGTACGGATAGATGTGGAAGGTAGTATGGGCCCGTACTACTGAAAGCAGAGGATCCGTACTCGAATCAAGGGAGGCTGAGACGAGACCAGGGAACTTGTAGTAGATGTGATATTTCTAGTTATATCAGTGTTTCTGACGTTGTCACTTTGTAATTCAGAATGGCGGTTTTACGCTCTAGAGCAGCAGTCGGCAGTTCAGGTGCCGGCGAGGGATCAGGTTCAGGCTCATGAGTCGGGCAGTTAGATGAGCAGACCAGAGAGTTCATCTCTTCAGAGGTCACGCGTAGCATACTTGAGCAGACTCCTGTGATCTTTGAATCGGTCAAGGAGGGTATTCTTGAGCTGTTGGATGAGAGGTTGAGTGCGTTCCGCACTGAGATGGTGACTATGATGGGGTCACGTACTTTGACATTCAGGGAGTTCCGGGCTTGTGGAGCTCCAGATTACCAGGGGGCCCGAGACCCCATTGCGAGTACTAGGTGGTTGGCTGATGTCGCCAATGCATTCTGCACCAGCAGATGTCCCGAGGGGGACAAGGTTAGGCTCGCATCCTGTCTTCTGAAGGGTCGGGCACATGATTGGTGGGAGGAGGTCGGACATGCCATTGGGGATGACACAACCCTTGATACGATGACCTGGGCTGATTTGACGACCAGGTTCAGGGCCGAGTTCGCACCTGTCATTGAGGTGCAGCAGCTTGCTAGGGAGTTCCAGGATCTCCAGCAGACGACGGAGACAGTGGCGAAGATTACCACCAAATTCAGGGAGAGGGCTCTTCTCGCTACTCAGTATGCGGAAGACGAGGAGATGAAGAAGGCCCGGTACCATGATATGCTGAGGAGTGATATCAGACAGTTTGTGAGCCGGTCCAGCTGTAAAACGTTGGACGACATGATTGCGAGGGCTCGTGAGAGGGAGATTGATTTAGAGATGGAGAGGAAGAGGAAGCCATAGGTGGTATCTGGCACATGGAGTTCGGGAAAAAAACCCAAGGTATCGGATCACAGATCTAGGGGATAGCAGAGCCACAGTCGGTGTGGCAAGTGTGGGAGGTTGCATGATGGAGTGTGCAAGGCAGGGAGTTCCGGCTGCTACAAGTGCGGTCGGACTGGGCACATGAGCAAGGATTGTACAACTACTACTATGACTCCCACCTCAACATCTGATCTGATTTGCTGTCAGTGCAATCAGAGGAGCCATAAGAGGTCCCAGTGTCCTAGCTTAGCAGCAGTAGGGAAGGTGGCAGCACCTGCCCCTGCTACATTGAGGATTACAGACGATCGTCAGGGTCGGGCTGAGGCGCCAGTGGCAAAGAGTAGAGCGTTCCAGATGACAGCAGAGGACGCGCGAGCGACTCCTGACGTGGTGACAGGTATGAATCTTCCTCTTATATCTGTTTTAGTATTGATTGTTTCTTATGATTATGTGTTTGTGTATAGGGTCGTTCTTAGTGAACGGCATTTCAGCTACAATATTGTTTGACTCGGGGGCTACCTGATCATTTGTCTCGCTTGCGCTTAGCAAGCGGTTTAGCAGAGATCCAGGGGAGCTGGATTGCCTGCTTGAGGTTGAGATAGCTGATGACAGCACCGTCAGGGTCGCGAGAGTACATAGGGGGTGTTCGCTGCGATTATTTGATGAGCAGTTCTCAGTGGACTTGGTTCCTATTCCTTTGCGAGGGAATAAGGTTATAGTGGGTATGGATTGGCTGAGCCCCAACGGGTCAGTGATTGATTGCGAGTTGCAGTTAGTGAAGGTCCGCACTCCTAGTGGAGGAAAGATAGTGATTCAAGGCGAGAGGCCACAACGCGGACCCATTCCTTGTTCAGCAGCGAGAGCGAGGCGCTACTTTCAGCAGGGATGCACGGGGTACGTCGCCTATGTTATTGATGCCCGGGAGAAGGGTAAGGCGACCGTTGACGATGTACCGATTGTACGAGAGTACCCAGATGTATTTCCATAGGATTTGCCTGGAATACCTCCTGAGAGACAGGTTGAGTTCTGGATTGACCTGGTTCCTGGTGCGGCTCCGATAGCCAAGGCACCGTATCGGCTGGCTCCTCCCGAGATGCAGGAGTTGTCTACGCAGCTGCAGGAGCTGCTAGACAAGGGATTTATCAGGCCGAGCAGTTCATCATGGGGAGCCCCGATCCTGTTCGTGAGGAAGAAGGACGGGTCGCACCGTATGTGTATAGATTACAGGGAGTTGAACAAGGTAACAGTGAAGAACCGTTACCCACTTCCGAGGATAGATGATCTGTTTGACGAGCTTCAGGGAGCATCTTGGTTTTCCAAGATTGATTTGCGCTCCGGATATCACCAGATGCGGGTCAGGGATGAGGATGTGCAAAAGACCGCTTTTAGGACCCGCTATGGTCATTATGAGTTCGTGGTGATGCCGTTTGGGCTCACCAACACTCCAGCCGTGTTCATGGACCTCATGAACCGCTTGTGCAGGCCGATGCTGGATCGGTCTGTGATAGTGTTCATTGATGATATCTTGGTATAGTCCAAGACTCAGGAGCAGCATGAGGAGCACTTGAGGGAGGTGCTTGAGACCTTGAGGAGGGAGAGACTTTTCGCAAAGTTCTCCAAGTGCGAGTTCTGGTTGCGCGAGGTGCAGTTTCTGGGGCACCTTGTCAACCAGAAGGGTATATTGGTAGATCCGGCCAAGATTGAGGCCGTGATGCAGTGGGAGGTCCCGAGGTCTCCATCCGAGATTCGGAGCTTCCTGGGTTTGGCAGGGTATTACAGGAGATTTATCCAGGATTTCTCAAAGATAGCAGTTCCGCTCACCCGACTGACCAAGAAGTCGGTGGTGTTTCGCTGGGGTCCTGAACAGCAGACGACCTTTGAGACGCTCAAGCAGCGATTGTTCGAGGTGCCGATTCTTACCTTGCCAGAGGGAATGGATGACTTTGTAGTCTACTGTGACGCTTCGATCACAGGTATGGGTGCAGTGCTGATGCAGCGGGGGCATGTGATATCTTATGCCTCAAGACAGTTGAAGCCTCACGAGGCTAACTATCCGACGCATGATTTAGAGCTGGGGGCAGTAGTGTTCGCCCTCAAGATTTGGAGGCATTACCTCTATGGGGTTCGGTGTACTATTTTCACGGACCACAAGAGTCTGAATTACCTCATGGATCAGTCGAGCTTGAACATGAGGTAGCGTCGGTGGTTAGATGTGGTAAAGGACTACGATTGTGAGATCCTTTACCATCCGGGCAAGGCCAACGTAGTCGCCGACGCCCTGAGCTGCAAGGCGGTAGCGGCTCCGATCCGGGATTTATGTATGAGGATGACGGTGATTACTCCACTGCTAGGGTAGATTAGATTGGCACAGGTCGAGGGCCTGAAGGAGGAACGCCAGAAGTGCGAAAGGATAGTAGGTCGAGTGGCTTCGTTTGATTATGACAGTCGGGGATTGTTGACCCTGCATGGGAGGGTCTGGGTACCATACTGGGGCGGAGTACGGCAAGTATTGATGGATGAGGCCCACAAGTCTCGGTTCTCCATCCATCCAGGGGCGACGAAGATGTACAGAGATCTTCGTCCCGATTACTGGTGGCCCTGCATGAAGCGGGACGTAGCTTGGTATGTGGAGAGATGCCTGACCTTCAGGAAGGTCAAGGCAGAGCACCAGAGGCCCCATGGCAAGATGCAGCCGCTAGACATTCCCGTGTGGAAATGGGAGGATATCACCATGGATTTCATTACTAAGCTTCCCAGGACCGCACGAGGGGTTGATTCGATATGGGTCATCGTGGATCGATTGACCAAGAGCGCCCATTTTATACCAATCCAGGAGAGCATCTCGGCCGAGAAGCTGGCCGAGATTTATGTGCGAGAGGTAGTGGCATGTCCTGGAGTGCCTGTCTTGGTGGTGTCAGACCGAGACGTCCGGTTCACTTCCAGGTTTTGGAAGCAGTTTCACGATGAGATGGGTACTCGTCTCCATTTCAGCACCGCTTTCCACCCTCAGACGGACGAACAAAGCGAGAGGACGATTCAAACTCTCGAGTACATGCTTTGGGCATGTGTACTAGATTTCGGTGGCAGTTGGGATACGTATCTTCCGTTAGCGGAATTTTCGTATAACAACAACTATCACTCCAGTATAGACCGGCCTCCCATCGTGATGCTCTACGGGAGGAAGTGTAGGACCCCAATCTGTTGGGGTGAGGTCGGTCAGAGATTCATGGGGAGTACAGAGGTAGTACTCAAGACCACGGAGCGGATTCAGCAAGTCCGGAGCAGACTCCAGACTGCTCAGAGTCGGCAGAAGAGTTACGCCGACATGAGGCATTGTGACTTGGAGTTTCAGGTAGGCGATATGGTCCTCCTGAAAGTGTCACCCTGGAAGGGTGTCATTAGATTTCGGAAGCAGGGAAAGCTGGGCCCCAGGTTCATTGGTCCCTTTAGGATTTTGGCCCGGGTGGGTCGGGTTGCGTATCGGTTAGATCTTCCTGCAGAACTCAGCCAGATCCACAACACTTTTCATGTTTCTCAGTAGCGGAAGTGCTTAGTGGATGATTCAGCAGTGGTACTCCTTGAGGACATTCAGGTTGATGATAGTCTGAACTATATCGAGAGACCAGTGGCGATTGTGGATCACAAGGTGAAGAAGCTGAGAAAAAAGAGGTTAGAGTTAGTGAAGGTGCAATGCCAGCACCGCAAGGGCTCAGAGTGGACGTGGGAGCCGAGGAGGAAATGAGAAATCACTACCCTGAGTTATTTTCAGAGACAGTAGACTTCGAGGACGAAGTCTAAGACAAGTGGGGAAGAGTTGTAACACCCGGATTCCAGGTATGCTTTTAACTTAAGTCAATCTTAAAATTTCACACTTGGACTCAACGAGTTGATGGCCCGACTCGTTGAGTCAGATCGAATCCGGATCGGGGAAATAAGTAACCTACTCGACTAGTCGGAAGACGGCGAGTAGGCGCTGTCTGATGAGAACCCTAATTTCAAGGGTTTGTTCCCCTATTTAAGGAACATAAAGCCCCTTTGGCCTCCCTTGTCACTCCTTCCATACCCATAAAACCCTAAACCGCCACCTTTGAGTATTGTGAGTATTTGAGTGTCATTTCTTGAGTTATCTTTTGTGATTGAAGTTTGGGTAAAGAAGAGGAAGAGGGAAGACTTCAAGCAAACAGTTCAGATCCAGAATCAGCATCACTTTCTCCTCACTTTCTGGTAATAAAACTTCCCTTTTTACTTGTGATTTCCTAGATCTTCTTATGGTTATTTTGGGTTAAGAAGCTTGACTCTTGGGATTTGGACGTCCCAAGTTGTTTCACCTTCAGATCTAGGACCTTGAAGGGTCCTCATGGCATAAAGGTGCCATCCTTAGGGCCATGAGAACTCCATGCATGCTAAAACCTCCATTTTCGGCCTTTTAAGCTCTATTGGTGCATGCATACACGTAAAGTTCATAACTTTACGTGTTAGATCGACCTTATAAGCCCAGATCTATCTTTTGGATTAGAGTTGTACATCAGAAATCAAGTTATGGACTTGGACATTAGGCGACTCGCCGAGTTGTTCTTGGAGCTCGGCGAGTCCGGGGCTAGAAGTCCCCAATCTGTAGTGGTTCATAGGAGCCCAGTTGAGTGAAAGAAGGGACTTAGACAAGTCCAGAGGAATGACCCGACGTATTAAGTCATAGCCATAACCTGGAAGCCATGGGACTCGACGAGTGTAAGAACACACTCGGCGAGTCCAAGGAATTCTTCTTACCCACAAGAACAGACTCGACGAGTTGTTCATACAAATCGACGAGTCGTAGACTGGACATGTTCATATGATAGAGGTGGACTCGACGAGTTATTCATACAACTCGGCGAGTCGGATGAAGATTGACTCGATGTTATTAAGAAGGAGAACTCGTCGAGTCTTTGCTAAACTCGGCGAGTAGAATCGGGTAGGGAGCAGAAGAGAAGATAGGGACTCGACGAGTTGGCGGCCCAACTCGGCGAGTCAGGTCAACTGGAAGTTGACTTTGACCAGGAGTAAAATAGTCACTTTACTCAAAAACTAGTTATCAGTTCTGATTAAGTGCCTTTGTGGTAATTGTAGCCAGGGAGTTGCCGGAGCAGCTGTCAAACGTTTCCCGCTCAGTTTTTTCAGCAGTCGACTTCATGAGGTGAGTTTCCTTCCAGTAGGAACGGGTCTACGACCACAATGCCGGCCCTTTTAGATAGCAGTAGTTCCGAACTGCGGTCCGATGTCGGGGTGGTCCCGAGAAGTAGTTCAGTATGCTTGATGTCTTTGTGATTCAGGCATGTCTATGTGTTATGTGTTCCGGACTGTGGTCCGATGCAGTATGCAGTATGTATGTTATTGATATATGTTACGGTTAGGTTATGCTATGTTCAGTCAGTTCCGGACTTCGGTCCGATGCAGAGGGCAAGGCCCTAGTCAGTTCCGGACTTCGGTCCGATGCAGAGGGCAAAGGCCCTAGTCAGTTCCCGACTTCGGTCCGATGCAGAGGGAAAGCCCCGACTCAGTTCCGGACTTCGGTCCGATGCAGAGGGCAAAGGCCCTAGTCAGTTCTGTAATTCGGTCCGATGCAGAGGGCAAGGCCCTAGTCAGTTCCGGACTTCGGTCCGATGCAGAGGGCAAAGGCCCTAGTCAGTTCCGGACTTCGGTCCGATGCAGAGGGCAAGGCCCTAGTCAGTTTCGGACTTCGGTCCGATGCAGTGGGCAAGGCCCAGTATGTGATTTATATGTTATTGTATGGTATGTGGTAGTTTGGGGGAGCTCACTAAGCTTCGTGCTTACAGTTTCAGTTTTGGTTTCAGGTACTTCAGCTAGCAAAGGGAAGGGCTCGGGATGATGGCATGGCACACACCACAGTTTTAGCCTGGGAGATTGACTCTGATATTTTGATATGATCTTGATATTGGTTTTGTTCTGAGACATATTTTATGACATTTTGAGACACCCGACTTATGGTTTTCTTGTGTGATATTTGGATGTTATGGTGTTAGTAATGTTTTCAAAACGAAATTTTTGGCTTGTATTTTTGGGATGTTTCACTTTTGGATATGTTGATGGGGTTTGTTTGTGAATCTTCGTGAGACATGATAACCTATTTTGAATATCTGTCAAGAACCAGACTTGTAAAGATTGAATTAGGGTTTTATCAAAACATGGAACAACGTCAATAAATAAGATGACGACTCCAACAATTTCAACAAAAGCGGAAACCCTAAAGAGATTCTTTCAATAGAAGAGATGTGTATGAATTACACAGCCTCCTGCTCTGATACCAATTGACGAGAATTAATTTCTCTAAGATCGTTTAGATTCGTAACAGATTTAGACAAACACAATAAGAGCAATGAACACACGATGAATCAAATAAGAGCTGAATGATTAATATGCTCCACCTCAGAAGAGCTCGATAAAGAACTTCTATTGTAGAGGTGTGCTAGGGTTAAAATACAAATCAAAGGAATAATTATATTAAGCGTACAGAGAATGATGCATGCATGCATCTTATATACTAAACCCTAATGACATAAAAACGGCTGGACAGGCCTAAACCGTGATAACAATGGACCGAGGTAACAGGCCCAATGATGCAACTCTTAGACCCAACACAACCCGATGGTTGATTGGACCTGGGGGTATTCCAACCCGATGGTTGATTGGACCTGACATGTTGTTGTTGTATATGTTATCTATTTATGTGTTGGTACTTTAGGGGATCTCACTAAGCATTGACATACAATTTTGGGTTATGTTTCAGGAACTTCGGATGACCGCGGGAAGGCGAAGGCATGACCGTACACATCCTCTTGTTTATGACTCATGATTTTGGGAGACTCTGATGTTGAAAATGTTTTGAAAACTATGTTTGTAAACAATTTGTGAAATTGGGTTTGTTTTAAAAAGTTTAAATTTCTTGTGATTTTTATGGGTGTTACAAGTTGCTATCAGAGCCTTGGTTTGAGTGAATTGGAGGAACACTCATGTGAATCCAGTCTCAAACTAAGTAAAATGATTTTTAAAAATGATTTTCAAATTGTTTTCAAAATAATCAAAGAGGATGTGATGTGTACGATCATCCGGAGCCAGTAAATAGACCCTAAATTACCACACTGTTATTTGATCTTGTGATATGTTAGAACAGTATGCTTGTGATAGGCTAGGGATCATCAGGAATTACATTATAGAATTGTTTGATTATATGATGCCTGATAGCCTAGGGTTTTTTCTTATATGAAATTGACATCATTTTTGTAGTTGCTTAGTGTATGCATTATAGTCGTACATAACTAAGATTCTATATCCTGAGAATGTTTGGATTGGCCTTATTTCCTCTTCTTGTTTGATGAATGGCTTATGGTAGAATCAGTTATTCGACTGTCTATAGGGTCCAGTGTTATGTATGATTAGCATTCACGAGAGTTGTAGGGTTGGTGGAAGTTTCATGGATGTGTTGTGTGGGGTCAGTCGGGCAGTTTCGTGATGTTTAGCCTTCCTCTAGGAAGTGAGGATTGAGTGTATGCGTATGCTAGTGTGTATTGTTAGGGTAGTTGTGATGATCCTCTGAGTCAAATATGGGTAGGTGGGGAAGGTAGTATGGGCCCGTACTACTGGAATCACATGACTCATATGCGTAGTAGGGAAGTCATAACTGATAGGGATTTGTTGGGAGTTGGTTTTCTTGGCATGATATGTGTTCTATCTGATATCTCCCTGGTTTATTTTCAGTATGGTGATGACGAGACGGTTTGAGGCGAGATCCAGGTCAGGATCGGGAGCTGGTGGCCAGGATAGGCTAACTTTGACTAAGGAGTGAGTGAGGGAGATCATGCAGGAGGATGTTGTTTCCCTCTTTCGGGAACAGCTGCCAGAGATGCTTGGGTCTATTAAGACCGCCATGGTGGAGTACTTTGATGAGCGTTATGCTGCATTGTCTGAGGTTGCTGCTGCTGCAGCCACCGCAGCCGTTGCGGCTGCAGGTATTGGTGCTGGGAGAGCCTTCCAGTATCGGGACTTCGACAATATGAAGCCCCCGACATTTGATGGTTGTATGACATTAAGGGATGCTTCTTCACTTGCTCTTTCCCATCTAACCAGAAGGTCTGGTGCGCTCTGAACCTTCTTAGGTCCGGAGCGAAGGATTGGTGGAGACTTGTTACCAACTCGTATTCTCCTGAGTAGAGGACTATGGTGACTTGGGAGCAGTTCTTGGAGATGTTTCGTTCTATATATGTTCCGCTGGTGGAGCGTGAGAGGTTGGCCCAATAGTATTTGGACTTGAGACAGGACACTGAGTCAGTGACGGAGATCACCAAGATGTTCACGAAGAGGGCCATGTTTTGTCCTGAGTTTGCTGCTTTTGAGCAAGCTCAGATGACCCGTTACTTGAGCATGCTCAAGATGGACATCAGGCAGTTTGCATCCACTCAGTGTTATGGTTCATTGTTTGAGTTGCAGGAGGCTGCCAGGCGGCATGAGATTGAGATGGAGCTCCAGACGAGGGAGCAGAGCCTGCACCAAAGCGGTTCAGGGCCGCTGATACTAGATCTGGGATTCAGAGGGGCCACACTTGTAGGAAGTGCGGCAAGGTTCATGATGTAGCTTGTCGATCTTCTTCGGGATGCCACAAATGTTGCAAGCAGGGCTACATTGCGAGGGACTGCCAGAAGCAGACTCCGGTATCCGACATCAGGCTTTGTTATCATTATGATCAGGTGGGCCATATGAAGGCCCAGTTCCCCTTGCTTGCTACTAGGCCAGCGCAGGCTCTAGCGACGACTACTTTGAGGATTACGGATGGGATTCAGGGTAGGGCAGAGCCCCTGAGGGCTTGGAGCCGCGCTTTCAAGCTCACGACAGAGGAAGCCATGTTGGAACCAGACGTCATGACCGGTATGTTTCTGTTTATTATTTTGTTGATTATGTTTTATGTTATGCTCATCTTTGTGCTCCTAATAGGTACGTTCTTAGTTAACTCTTTACATGCTCTTGTATTATTTGACTCGGGTGCGAGTCGGTCCTTTGTATCTCGATCATTCAGTAGGGAGTTTGATATGCGTATTGGGGAGTTATATTGTCCATTGCGGGTTTCTATCACCAACGAACACGAGGTTTCTGCACCCGCACTGTATCAGGGTTGTATTTTGTAGATCTTCGGGGTGCCTTATCTGATTAACCTGATCCCTATCCCCATGGGGGATGTATGCGTGATAGTGGATATGGACTGGCTGAGCAGGTTTGGTGCCATGATTGATTGTGAGGGGCAGCGAGTGGTAGTTTGAACCCCAAGTGGGGGAGAACTGGTTATCTATGGAGAGGGCACTAGGGTTGGTTCAGGGTTTTGTTCGGCAGCCAGGGCGCGACAGTATATTTAGCACAGCTGTGTAGGTTATTTGGCTTATGTGGTTGATACTCGGGTAGGGAGCAGACTTCAGTTTCAGAGGTTCCAGTTGCCAGGGAGTTGCTGATGTTTTCCCGGAGGAGTTACCTGGTGTGCCTCCTGAGAGGCAGGTTGAGTTCAGGATTAATCTTATGCCAGGTGCGGCCCCGATTTCCAAGGCGACGTACCGCTTGGCACCACCTGAGATGCAGGAGTTGTCATCTCAGCTTCAGGAGCTTCTGGGAAAGTAATTCATCAGACGGAGCAGTTCTCCATGGGGAGCGCCGATATTTGATCAGTTGCAGGGTGCATCTTGGTTCTCCAAGATAGATCTGAGGTATGTGTATCATCAGGTGAGAGTAATAGAGGAGGACATGGAGAGGAATGCGTTTCGGACTCGTTATAGGCATTACGAGTTCGTGGTGATGCCATTTGGGCTCACCAATGTGCCTACTGTGTTTATGGATTTGATGAATCGGGTATGCAGGCTGATGCTCGACCGATCTTTCATTGTGTTTATTGATGATATCTTGGTGTATTCCAAGAACAGAGAGCAACATGAGGAGCACCTTCGAGAGCTTCTGTGGGTTTTGAGGAAAGAACGACTTTATGCCAAGTTCTCGAAGTGCGAGTTTTGGTTATGAGAGGTCCAGTTCCTGGGGAACCTCGTTAACCAGTATGGGATTTTGGTCGATAAGGCCAAGATTGAGGTTCTGATGCAGTGGGAGGTTCCGAAATCTCCCTCAGAAATCAAGAGTTTCTTGGGTTTGGCAGGGTACTATCAGAGATTCATTCAAGACTTCTCCAAGATTGTGGTACCCTTCACTCGTCTGACGAGTAAGGGGGTGGATTTTCGATGGGGCCCTGAGCAGTAGTCGGCGTTTGAGACTCTTCGGTGGAGGTTATGTGAGGCCCTGGTATTGACCCTCCCGGAGGGGGTCGAGGATTTTGTGGTATTTTGTGTTGCATCCATCACAGGGTTGGGGGCGGTCCTCATTCAGAGAGGACGAGTGATTGCATATGCTTCTAGGAAGCTAAAGCCGAATGAGACACAATATCCCACACATGACCTGGAGTTGGGGGAAGTGGTGTTTTCCCTTAAGAATTGGAGACATTATTTATATGGGGTCCGTTTTAATGTCTACACGGATCACAAGAGTTTGAGATATCTGATGGATCGGCTGAACCTGAACATGAGGCAGCGCAGGTGGTTGGACGTGGTCAAGGATTATGACTGCGAGATCCTTTACCATCCAGGTAAAGAGAATGTGGTATCGGATGCCTTGAGTCGTAAGTCGGATGGATCTTTGGTTGGGAAGACGTGCATAAGGATATCCGTTGATTCTCCGCTTTTGGGATTGATCATAGAGGCTCAAGTAAAGGGATTCCGGAAGGAGAACTGGAAACAGGAACAGATCAGGGGTGAGATAGACAAATTTGTCACGGATAGTCGAGGGTTGTTG